GTTAGTATGATAGTATTGTTAGTACGCTAGTACGATAGTATTGTTAGTACGCTAGTATTGTTAGTACGATAGTATTGTTAGTACGATAGTATTGTTAGTACGATAGTATTGTTAGTACGCTAGTACGATAGTATTGTTAGTACGCTAGTATTGTTAGTACGATAGTATTGTTAGTACGATAGTATTGTTAGTACGATAGTATTGTTAGTACGATAGTATTGTTAGTACGATAGTATTGTTAGTACGATAGTATTGTTAGTACGATAGTATTGTTAGTACGCTGTTGTACGCTAGTACGCTTTTAGGGTATATTTCCAAATTTGACAAATTACACAGGGATCCCAATTGTGATAGTTGATCAAAAAGCAATATAGTCATCTATAAACATGGCTGTTGTGACGCAAATCAATAAATAATGCTAAATTAGATTTTTCATTATCTAAATAAGTTATGCACGGGGCCCAGTTTTTTGAAGCGAACCGTGTTACGCTGGAGAACAACAGGCATAAATCGCTCAAAATTGAAATGTAAAGAAAAATACAATGAACAGGTAGAGATGTACATTTTTGTTATATTTTAAATATTTCTAAAAATTGCACAATTGCCTAGCTAGGGCTACCTGTGATAGCTGATCGCCTGGCTATTTTGATGCTCAACTCAAACTCGAAGGCGAAAATACAAACTCTGCTTCGGCAGACTCAACCTTTGTTCGGGAAACCAATTATAATAACAATGTATGTCAATGTAATTCTTTTTTTCTGTTTTACTATCATATTCGATATCTACTTTACTAGACACATTGATACAATTTTGATATTAATCTCAAATCTTTTTCATAAACCTAAAATATTATGTTTGTCAAATATTTAGGAAGAAAATTCCACAAAAGTTTACTAATTTTAATTAGTAAAAATGCCAAAGAAAATTTTCAATTTTCAAATATACTTCAAAATTTTCAATGCACTCTACATAGGACAAATTGCAATCATGTGGCAATGATAATAATGCATTTTTAAGGATCTGTTCTGAAACTCCACACGAGTGTGACCACGAGTGACCACGAATGACTACGAGTGACCACGAGTCACAAATAGGCGACCACGAATGACCACGAGTAAAAAAAATAACAATAATACACATAGTTGAAGCGTCCAATAAATTTCTTAAGGAAATTACTCTATATCTTGTATAAGTATTACTTGCTGGTACATCAATCAATCATTTTTGTTTCGTTTGTTTGTTTATTCGTTTGATCGATTCGGTTCAGTGACGTTCAGTGGCGGATTTAGGGGAAGGACCTTGGGGTTATTCAAAGTTGGAATTAATTCGCCATTTTTTTACAAATAAAAAATGGTTAGCTTTCGTTCCATCTCGGGATCCCTTTGGTATTCTTGCTTAATGGTAGGATCATGGATCAAAGCCATGCATCAAATGTGCTCTTTCTATTCGTGGGACAAAAAGAAGAATGTTCTATGTATACCGTGCCGGGTATATTTATAGTGGCGTGTCTGCTTTCCTCTAACTGCTTCATTGCTAACATTTGTTTATTATATATCGTTCGTGTTTCCATTGGCTTGACAGCATGCGTTCATTAGACAATAATAATAATATAGACATATGTATAGCTTAATAGTTATTGGCAGAAACCTATAAGGGACTTGAAACGTGTAGCGACGTGCCAACCGTTGGAATATTCAAATCTAATTCGTCTTATTTGACCTTAATTGGAACAATTAAATTTACCCTATAGCCAACCAGAACGGGCCTTAAATCTCTTATTCAACGGCCGAATTTTCCAAATATGGTCATAACGTTCGTTTTCGAATTTTTAATGAGCTTTGAATATTCCGACGCTTAGCACTAAAGAAATGTACGGGCGTTATACGTTTCAAGTCCCTTATAGGTTTCTGTTATTGGTTAATAAACTATCCCTATGAGTGTTTATTCTTTTTCCAATGTCTTTAATGATATTTTTTTTTATTTTAATGTTCATTTATATGACTCGTGTTCAGTCGTGGTCGCTCACTCGTGGTCATTCGTGGTCATTCGTGGTCATTCGTGGTCACTCGTGGTCACTCGTGGTCACACTCGTGTGGAGTTTTAGAATAGATCAGTTTCAAGTAAGTTATATTCAATATACACATTCATTGTTTTTGTTTAATTAGTTTCTCACTTGATAATGTTTTTTTTGATATCATGATTCCAGTCCCTTAATACCAAACAATATACATAATCAATTTCCACATAAGCTGTGACACAATAGCAATCTTTTTATACAGTGAATAAGTTCTCAATATTATTCCATGCATGCAATAACATAATTAAAAATGCTGTAAAACTTGTAAAGTTTGGCTACCCTTGTTTAAAGTTGAGTTGATAGTGATATAAATGTGTGCATGTTATTAAAATGCATGTTATTCTAATTTCGATTAAAAAAGCTGACTTCTTTGCTCTTTTTGACTATTTTGCCAATGAGTGGTAAACATTAATTTTAAATAAATTTCACTAGTATTTTACAGCATTAAAAAATAAATGTCTATCTATTCACTTCCATAAATATTTATTATTAAGAGTGGTCCACCTAACTTTTCATAGTTTACAGCTACCACTACTATCAATAACCTTTTTTTAACTCTATCAGAGTACAATTCTTATCTACATTTTTAACAAATTTCACTGGCCTATATTTTTGGCCTGAGTCACATGCAGTCTTTGACTGCTTATTTTTTTTTTCTAGCTATAAGGCATCGTATACATTTTATTTTGCACTTTCAAGAATATTTATTTTTCGTTTTCTAAAACCTTACTAGATTTTTTTAGTTACTACAGCCTCCCTCCTGAAATTGAATCTAATAGTCCTTCCCTAAAATTAAAATCAAGCTGCCAATGGCAACATAACTCGGAGATTGTAAGAGCTGCTTTTGCAAGATGGTCAGCTGTATTTTGAGCATTTTATTAACACATTAGATAAGTTATTTATAAAAACATGTAAATAGGTGATCATAAAAAATCAGAACAATAATATCAGAACAATATTGGGAAAAATGCAATTCAACATTTAAATTGGATTAAAAAATAGTATTAACTAACAAGATCAGTTATTAGTGAAAAATTTGAGTGGCTAATGCCTTCATGTATTGAA